GCTTTGAAGTCGAGTTGGTTAGAAAAGACATGAGACCAACAGTTGTTGAAAATTCTGTGCACTTATTGGATGAATCAGAATCTGAAAATGAATCTGATTTTGACTAATCTATTTTGGACCAGGTTGTTGAAGTGTTATTGTACACTCTATGAGAGACCAAATTGTAACTCTGTGACAGATCGAGTTTTAACTCCTGATGAAACGAGTTCTCTAATTAGCTCTATTTGGATCATTTCTTATGTCCATTTTCTGTTACCATATATGTTCTTGTTATTCAATAAAATAACTTTTAATTTCAATGTATATATAGTGGATTTGATTTTTTGTTAGGTAAATGGTCTAAGTTTGTTTGTGGATAATGGTTTGAAATAACATTTTTTAGCATTGACAGTTGCAGGAAAATGAACCAAGTGGCTGGTTTTGGTCTTGATTTTCCAGCTAAGTCTAGTGCTGAACTGCTTCGAGACTATAAGCTTAAAGCAGAAAATGTCACTGCTTCTGGGAAACATAAGCAAAGTGCTTCACATCAAGAATTACAGAAACATTTCACGTTTAATCCAACAAAATCTCAGGTACAGGTGCTTAAATAACTTTTGTGTTCCTATTTATCGTGTATCCTCATCACTGTTGTTGGTTGGTATATTATTGGTATCTAATGACTACAAAATAAGGCATCATAAGTCCTAATCAGTTAATGATACTGTACTAGTGAGTAGTGGAGTATTGATGTTTGTTAGATAAGTTCCTTAAGGGAAAATGCATGTTTGGTCCTTCATCTTTTAGCCCGTACCTAAAATGTCCCTTTTTTAAGGTCGTTCCCACATGCGGTTCAGTAGTTCATTTTTTTCCAATTTGAGGACTTCCAGTAAAAAAACAGAATGTTGCTTGATTTCATCAAGTGTAGACCACATTGTACATTTTTCTTTTGACTCCAAAGGAGGTGCAAATTTCATGGGTCACAAAAATCTGAAACAAGTATAAATATACAAAGTCACATACTATCGTAGTATGCATTATGAGTATGTTGTACGAGTACTTATTTGTCCCACACTGCTCTCATTCTCCCTGCAGGATATTAATACTAAAGGAGCTGCCTCAAGTTTTTCTCAAGAAGGAAATGTTTCAGATTTCAGAAAAAACAAAGGAAGTGCTTTACGTAAAAAATCACAGAGAAGTGTTCCCTTCAAGATTATTAGCAACACTGGAGGTGTTTCGAATCTAAGTCAACAAGGCATGATTCTGAATGGTGAAAGTATTCAAAAGTCAATGCAAAAGGTGAACCATATGAAACGACCTCACCCGGGATCTATTTCAATCCAACGTAAAAAGAAAAATCAGAGCAGGGAATTCTTGAGCAATAGAGTTGAAACCGATAAAACAGACTTAATTGAAGTTTCTTTTAAAAAGAACATTGCTAAATACACGACCAGCAAGTCTAAGCAACAACAAAGGCCTATATTGACAGATGAGGTACAGGAAGCACCAGAAGAGCAATGCTCTAAGAAGAAAAAGGCTGATCCAAAATGTCCTGTGATGTCACTAGATGAGTTCATCGATAAGAATAAGAAACAACACGAGCTTGATGAATCAGGATCTGAATATGGGGAAGATATTGATATGAACTTGGAATTTGAAGGGGACATGAACCATGACAGTGAAGACATTGAGGAAAATGCACCTACGGGTAATATCATGACATCATTTTTTTGTTATTAATTTTTCTTTAACTAGCATTTTTTAAGCTATATCACATATGATTAAATGAACTATTTATGCCTTATCAATTAGGTGCAAAATCAATAAGAAAACGTGGAAAGACATTGTGTCTAAAGATTCATGCACGAGGGCTTGAAGATAGAAAGGATATCATTTTAAATGTGGAAGGGCAGCCTATTGGTCCAGATGAGCAGACCCTTTCTGAACTGAGCAGTTTCTTGGGAACTATAGCAAGAAGTTCAGATTTGTGCCCTCTTATTTATACTAATTGGAAGGCTGTCGACAAAGGCCCTATATGGGCTTATGTTAATGTACTGATTAAAACATCTCAAATTTCTTCATACTTATTCATTTAGATCTCTTTTAAATTATTTCTTTTGTTTGCAGAAAAAATATCATATTCAAGACAAAGGGAAAAAGTATGTGTATGCTGTTATCAACGATGCTTGGAGGCGGCATAAATTCTCCATCAAGAAGGATCATTTTACTAAGTACAAATGCTTGCGTGATCGTCTGAAAAACCGTCCTAAGGAGATACCAGAAGAACATTTTAAAGCATTGATAGAGTATTGGAAGCTAGACACAGTAAAGGTAAAACATGCTTTCAATTTAGCACTTAACTAGTTCGTACACATGTATCAGACTATCAGTTAGTAAATATGTATTCCTTGGACCATTATTAGGAAATTAGTCATCGAAATGCAGAAAGTACAGCTCAACAAAAATGGAGGCATCGAGTTGGTCCGATAAGCTTTGCTCGGATAAGGGAAAGATTGGTATTCCAATTTCAAAATTCTGAAATAAGATATTTGTTTGTTAAATTGCAGCATGTTATTGATCTTATTACTTCCCTGTATAGCGTGCAAAAAAGCAGAGCAAAGAGTCTCCTACTCGAGCTGAAGTGTTTATTGAAACTCGACAACCTAAGGAAGGAAAAAAGTTGGATCCTGAAACAGATGGTGCAATTGTAAGTTATTCTCAACTTTTTTATCTCTTTCAATTAATGATCAAAATGACTTATTATGATGTACTTCCAAATGTGCTAGATAAAGCTTCAAGATTTGATTGTAAATTCTGGAAAGTCTTCAGAAGAAGCATTTCAGAGTGTGTTTGGAAATGAGAAACCGGGGAGAGTGCGATGCCATGGAAGAACTACTACACGTTCTCTCTTGAAAAAAAAGGAAGAATTGGCAGAAATAGAAAAAAGACATGCTAATGAGGTCAAACTATTAAATGATAAAATTCAAGAGTTGGAGGAAAAATGTGCAAGACAAATGGCAGCAACAGAAGAAAAAAATCGTCAGGAGATGACCTTGATGGAGCAAAAATTTCAGTTTCTTCTAACCATGCTAAATCCTAACAAGTCTGAAATTGATTTAGACTCCTTTGCAGCTTTTCTATCAACAGCGACGGGCATTAACAATGGTTTGCGTTCTTCTACCTCAACTCATGCTCCATGTAATAATGAAGTAAGATTTCCTTTGACTTTTAATAATCTTCTAATTATTCAACAAGGTTGAGCAGATTGTTATGCTCTGGTTTATTACTCATGTTCCGATCATTCTTTGCATTGGATTCCCTAGTTTTTGCTTATCGGTCATCAGAGTGTGAGGATCGGAAATATGTCTTATTGGGTGTACATTATTAGTGAAGCTTCGTCTCGATTTATGTCTGATTGGACACATTTTTCATGAAATCTTTTTAAGTTCATTTTCCCCGCCTGACTTGAATTAGAGTTTAGACCTCATGCATCTCTTATGATGGAAATACTGAATTAGAGTTTGGACCTCATGCATCTCTTAAAATATACAATGAATCATACCAGCAGTAACAGAACCACTGGGCGAATCATAACAGCAGTAACTGCTTTGGATTTGAGCTTAATTATGTGTTTCATAATTTTATTCTTCAGCAGGAACTGCTTTGGATTTGAGCTTAATTATGTGTTTCATAATTTTATTCTTTATAATTTATTTGATTTAAGCTTTGATATGTTTTTATGTAGATGGATGATGGCATTGATGAAGAAAGGGAAGATGAAGATGTAGACAGTGATGCTTGAATGTGATTTGCTGAAGTTTTATTTTCATTTGTTGTTTTCATATTAAGTTCAGAGTTTACACACTCCAATTTACACTTTAAAGACCATGGATCATGGATGATCATTACTAGGCATGATATTGTTGAACTTGGATTTGTGAAGGTTATTGTTGAAGTGAAATTCCACATATTCCCCATTGCAAAGTATTTCATAAACACTTTTTAAAAGATTGGCTTTCAAATAAGTAGTATGATGCTTTGTAGCAATGTTTGAGAAGAAAATGGTTGGAATCTTTTTGGCAACAGTTTATTTTGGTTACTATTGGTAGAAACAAATAAAAAATGTTGTCCTATATGTTTTAAAAAAGTGTTCTCTAAGCTATACTCTTTGAGTACGGTTTTTGCATTGTGTTGCCTTTAAATATCAAAAGTGTTCCCTAATGTATAGGCAACGCCTTACATGACCACAGTTTTAAAACTGTTGCTAAAAATAATGGCAACAGTTTTTTTTTATTAGGCAACATTTTTTCAGTGTAGTAGTAAATCCAAAATGTTGTAGTGTAATACTCAACAATTTACGCCATAACATAGTAATGACAAACTTTATAGAGAGAGAGATGATTAGTCATGTACATCATCACTCGCCGATCCTCCACATATATCTTCAAGGTGTTTTATGTCTTCAACAGTAGTAGGATCGTACGGATAAATAATGTACCCAGCCAGAATATTCTTAACACAAAGATGCCTTTTTTCAGCACGATCATTTGCAGCGTCATCTGGGGTTTGGGATGATGGTGAATCTCGTGCGAATGTTAACAAAGGCAAAAAGATAGCCAACACAAACACCGCAGTTATGTGCTTATTATAAGCCATATATACTTTATTACTGGTCCTATTTTCCTTTGTTATAAAGATATAATTATTTGCCGTTATGTTAGCTCCTTTGCATGTTAAGATATGACCATATGTATCGGGAACTTTATATATAAAGTACTTGGTAACCGTCGACCACGTCGTCTATTTACGTAGTTTATATACAAAGTATTCAATAACGGTTCTTATTAAGGGCATCCTCATTGGTAGGATTATTCTAAGATTAAATTGGTGACATGGAAGTTTTTTTGGAGAATTATCATTGAGTGGCATATGTTATTTAATGAGATTATTTTCTACAATAATCTGGGATCAAATTATGAATCCGGATTATTTTAAGATTATTTGAAAAGTGTATGTAATAGAAATTAGAGCCCGTTTGGTAGCACCAAAATCGGCTGTTTTGGCTGATTCTGCTGAAATTTATGATATTCTGGCTGGAGTGGCTGTTTTGGCTGATTCTGCTGATTTAAGAAAAAAAAAATTAAAAATATATTTTATTAATAAATTAAAGAAAAAATTATATGTAAAAATAGCTAAAATGGTCCTCTACAGTAACTTCAGCCAATACAGCCAGAAAAGTAACTCCAACCTTACTTTTTCGGCTTATTACACAATTCAGCGCGCGAAAGTAAAAGTTACGTGTTTGGTGAAAAAGCTGGCTGATAAGCCTGATAAGCCGAAAACAGAGTTCTCCAAACGGGCTCTTAATGCAGGACAAAGAAAATCAGATTATTTGAAGATGATGATTGAGAGACATAAACGAATTTTTAGATTATTTTAAAATTAATTATATAATAATATTTGAATGGTAAGAATCATAGAAAAAACTGATTATTAGAGATCATGAATGTGGATGCTCTAACTATAGTTAGGTGTTTTCTTACAAAAAATTAACTACAGGTATTTAATGCGGATAAATTATAGCCATGTTTATATGTAACATACATTGTTTTATTAGTTATGGCGTTTTAAACTGCGATTAACATTTTTTTCAAAAGACAATTAATTAATATTTCCTACATCCCAAATTGATTTCCAAAAACAACATTTTATGTCAACCATCTCTAAAGTTAAATTTTTCCTATTGATAATTAGTTCAATTTTTAATAATTAAAATTTGCATATTCAGAAGTTACATTAAAATTTTTCAAGTTGCAAGGTCCACATTAGAATATAATTCAAATTATAATCTTAATTAAGTAAATAAAATTAAATTGTTTGGCCCGGAAAAAAAAATTTGCAAATTAACTTTGAACTGAAGTACTGGTTTGTATAACATTGAGAGGCCAGGGACGCAAAGTACCCCACGGTCCCCACCACTATTTTTTTATCATCCATCCCTGTCATATTATTAATCAATCAAATTATTAATCAGATTATTAATCAATATCTGAAGAGCTAAATCATAAACACACTCCTGGTCTGCGATATGAATGTGAGCCCTAGCCAAAGCATGGGCAGCACGATTCGCAGACCGTTTACAATAAGAGATAAGAAAATTCCTCTTAGTTTCCAAAACTTTCCTAATATCATCAATAATCAAACGTAAATATGCCGAACCCTCTCCCTTCTGGACCCCTTGAACAACGGTCAAAGCATCAGACTCGAACTCTACTGCTTCCCATCCTTCGTTGACTGCTTCCAAGACCGCATCCCTCAGGCCAATTGCCTCCGTTTCCGCATCCGACCAGGACCCTTGTACCGATACCCCTTTAACCTTTACGAACCCTCCTTTTGCATCCCATGCTATCCAGCTCCATGCTCTAACCTTCTCCGCCTCATTTACAGCCCCATCCATATTGACCTTCATAACGCCGATGCCTGGATGACACCATCTTCCTCGGCTTTCAGTGGCAGCAGTCGAAACCCCCACCTTCTGCCCCTATGCCTGCTGCGTAGCTACTACATGCTCTTGCTACTCGGAAGGCATTCAAATAATTCCTTGAAGATAAACTGCGCAGTTATTTATCTCTTGTAAAGGCACCGAAGGAGGGTGCCGTTGTAAGATCTCTTGTAAAGCCTCCCGTTTTCGAGGGTGTAGCTGGGAGCCCTCAGCTTTGCTAACTTGGCGCGGGCCTCGTCTTGGGGCGATTGCCCTGTGGTGATGAAGGCGATGATGTCGGAAATCCAATCCTCCGGTCTCAGGTTAATGTTCATGACGGGGCTCGCGTGGATGCTTGAGAGGCTGAGTTCCTCAATTCTTGCAATTTTGGAGAGGTGCTCGGGGGATTCATCCGAGAGCTTTGATAGAATGTCGGCCTCGGAGTTTTGAGCCCTCGGTATTTGGGTGAGGGAATGTGCCTCAAATACCTTGAGTAATTCCTTAGCCGCTTCTTTGTATTGTTTCATCCTCCCTTCCTTGGCTTCGTATTCCCCGGAAATTTGACCCACGACAAGTTTCGAGTCACACTTAACGTGGACCATCTTGGCCTTCAGATTTGCTGCCAGCCGAAGGCCACAGAGGAGGGCTTCGTACTCGGCCTCGTTGTTGGAGACTTTGAAGGAGAAGCGGATGGCATAATAGGCGCGGAAGCCTTCGGGTGTGATCAGAACTACTCCCCCTCTGCATGCTTTGGTGGCCGAGGAGCCATCGGTATAGAGTGTCCACCACTCATCGAGAGGTGCCGAAGGCTCCTCGTCTGTTGCTGACCTTGCGGTGCACTCCGTTACGAAGTCTGCCAGGGCTTGGCCCTTAATGGCAGGCCTCGGACGGATGTCTATGTTGTATTGGCTGAGGAAGATGGCCCATTTCACCATCCGGGAGGAGCTAGTGGGACTTCTCATGAGGGCGCCGAGGGGTTGATGAGTGAGCACTTGGACCGGATGGGCTTGAAAGTAGTGGCCAAGCTTCTTGACGGTCCAAACGATGGCTAGCACCGTCTTCTCGACGGGAGTATACCTGAGTTCGGCCTCCCGGAGGGTTTTGCTGACGTAGAAGATGGCATGTTGGATGTCGTCTTCTTCTCGGATTAGTACTGAGCTGACAGCCGCAGGGCTAACACCGAGGTATAAGTATAAAGTCTCCCCCACCTTTGGTTTGGAGAGCACTGGGGGAGAGGAGAGATACTTCTTGAGTTCGTCGAAGGCCTCTTGACACTCAGGTGTCCATTGAAAACCCGCCGTCTTCCTCATGATTTGGAAGAAGGGGAGGGCCCTCTCGGCTGATTTGGAGAGGAAACGGTTGAGGGCCGCCAGGCGACCCGTCAGCCGTTGAACTTCTTTGACGTTGCGTGGGGGCTCCATGTTGATGATGGCCTGAATCTTCTCGGGGTTGGCCTCAATACCCCTTCGGCTGACCATGTAGCCCAAGAACTTTCCTCCCTGCACGCCGAAGGTGCATTTCTTTGGATTTAGCCGGAGGTTGAATTTTTGCATGATGGCAAAAATCTCCCGGAGGTCGTCGGCGTGAGTGCTTGCCTTCTTACTTTTGACGATCATATCGTCAACGTAAGCCTCCATGGTGCGTCCTAGGACAGCTTGAAAGACCCTAGCCACCATGCGTGTGTAGGTGGCGCCTGAATTTTTGAGGCCGAAGGCCATCACAAGATAGCAGAAGATGCCTTCGGGTGTCATGAAGGCAGTTTTTTCAGCGTCTTCCTCATGCATGTAGATTTGATGATACCCGCGGAATGCGTCGAGGAAGGACATGATTTCGCATCCCGCGGTCTCATCAACCAGCTGATCAATGTTTGGCAGTGGGAAGGGGTCCATGGGGCACGCCTTATTCAGATCCGTGTAGTCCACGCACATGCGGAAGGTAGGAGGCTTCTGTGCGAGGACTACGTTTGCCAGCCAAGAAGGGTATTTCACCTCCTTAATGTGTTTGATGGAGAGGAGCATAGATACCTCCTTCTTCACGAACTCCCTTCTCTCGGCCGAGAGGGGTCTCCTCCGCTGCTGTACCGGTTTGGCCGAAGGGTCCACCGCCAGGCGGTGGGTGATAACCCTTCGATCAATTCCTGGCATATCCTCCGGCCCCCACGCAAAAACAATGGAGTAGGCGCGGAGGGCTTTGGTGATGCCAGCCTTCAAGTCTTCGGGGAGCTTGGCTCCAATCTTCAGGACTCTCTCCGGCTTGGCCGGATCGAGTATCAAGTCTTCGGTCTCCTCGGCAGGCTCAGCCCTCGGCCTGCCTTCTTCTTCCTCCAAGGCCCTGGTGGTGATGGTGTCAACACGAAACTCAGTTTTACTAACCTTCTTGGTAAGCTGAAGGTAGCAGGCCCTGGAAAGCTTCTGATTTCCCCTCGAATATCCGATGCCGGTGGGTGTGGAGAATTTGAGGCAGAGGTGTCTCATGGAGATGACGGCTTCTAAGTCCTCGAGGGCAGGCCGGCCGAGGATGATGTTGTGTGCGCAGTCGAGGTTGACGACGACGAATTCCACTTCGAGCTTGGCTCTATGGGATCCGTCGCCAAATTCGACCATGAGTGTGATGACGCCCTCGGCGTCTATGCTATCCCCTGTGAATCCGGAGAGGGGGGTGTTGATGTGCCGAAGGGACCCTCTGTCGAGTCCCAACTCTTGAAAAGTGCTGAGATACATGACGTTGACAGAACTTCCCGTGTCGACGTAAGTCCGGTGGATGATGGCATCATTGATCTCAGCGCGGATGACGAGGGCATCCCTATGTGGCAGGGAACCCGAAGGGAGGTCCGCATCTGTGAAGAAGATGGGATCCGCCCTCAGCCTTTTAGTAGGGGGCATGTGATTGACCTCCCCAATGTAAAGGGACTGTGCCCACTTCTTCCTTTGGCTTGCTGAATCGCCTCCGGTGTTGCCGCCGTTGATCATATGAATATGGCGTTTGTATTGTTGATGGGAGCCCTCTCCCTCGTCATTGAGGCCCCCAATTTCGCGCTTCTTCCCCTGTGGGTTTCCCAAGGGGATGGTGTTGGGGTTCACCCATTTGTTTGCCTTCGGCGGAGGCCCTTGATGATGAGGGGGGCCCTGGGGAGGAGGGCCCCTGATAAACTGAGATAAGTGGCCTGCCTGTATCAGCCTCTCAATTGCGTTTTTCAGTTGGTGGCAGTCGTCGGTTTTGTGCCCATGGTGGCGGTGAAAGCGGCAATATGGCTCATCAGGGCCAATGGCATAAATCTCGAGGGGTGTGCGGGAGTCTCGCTCAACGAGCCCCCGCTCTTCCGCATGATCAAGAATGACGCTGACGGGGTGCGTCAGGGGAGTGCGTGGGTGCTCCAGGAGGACGGGTTGTGCCCAAGCCTTCGGATTGTTCTTGTAACCACCCCCGGGTCTGGCTTGGCCACCCCGGGAGCGATCGTTGTACTGTGCCTCTCGGTGTACCGGAGGGGGAGGCCCTCCGGGCCGGTTCCTGCCTTCATTCTTCTGAGAAGGATCCGTGTTGCGGCGGTCCTTCTCGATTTCCTCCGCTTCAGCGTACCGATCCCCCCGCTGAAGGGCCTTTGTATAATCGCGGGGGGGATCAGTGATAAGGCTCCGGGAGAAGTTACCATTGCGGAGGACGGTGTGGAAGAGGGCCATCAGGGTCCTGTCATCAGCGCCTTCGACCTCGAGGGAGGCCTGCCTCCAGCGTTCTAGGAAACTCCGAAGGGTTTCCTCCTTCTGTTGTCTCACATTCAGAAGGTGGGAGAAGTGTTTCTTTGAGCGGTGCCTCCCGGCAAACTGTGTGAGGAAGCGGTGGGCAAGTTCTTGCCACGAATCAATGCTGCC